CAGTCACCATAGGGACAAATTATTCCTGACTGCACAAAATAAAGTTCCAAATTTTGATAAAGAAAATAGTCAGAATAAATTCATTTTGATTATGGCAAACCATACTCTAGCACCAGCCTTAGCTGTCTTCTTAAAAAACAGCTATGGAACAAAACAACAACAACTATCAGTGTATTAGGCTACATTTTGTGTTCATTCCATATTCTGTATTCACCATTGGCTGCAAATTGTCTTTATTGTTTTTGATTTTTTTGATTTTTTTTAGAAAAGTTTTTATTTTTTGTTTTACTTTTTAGATTGTAGTTTTTTTTTTAAATTTCTTTCTGTAAGACCCTTTTTATCCTTTCCTAAGGATTTTTTGCGTCTAATAAAAAAATAAAATAAATATTATCATGATTGTTTTGGTTCAGTTTGAATACATTAATGCAGGATTTTAGGGGTTGACCAGATACACAAAGTTGCATAACCATATACAACAGGAGATATACTGATATTCTTTTTAAGAGTCCATTCCAACAACAGTGTAAATTTGTCAGGAGTCGCCATTTCAAAGTGTGCATTTCTGCTGCGATTGCATCAAACTTATAATGCAACATTTTATCAGTTTTCTTTGATGCAATCTCAAACAAAGAACTGTATACCAAATCCATGTTCGTTTAGGTATGAGAAAACATTCGGTGACCGATGAAAGTGCCAGTGAAAAATATTTTGCTCAAACAATGAAATGACTTAAAAATTATTTTATCTATTTTACCACCAACACAACAATCTACAATTAATTGTACATTTATTATTTACTATGATTTTGAAAATGTAACATCAAAAGCGAACAGAAATACAACATCAACTAACCTGCATGATTTTGTGGCAATGATCACCCACAGATATGAGCATGTAATATATTAATTATTCAAGTATGTGACTATTAGTACTAATATCACATCTTACATGATTGGATGTTTTTTCAAAGGCTAGAGGTCGAGATATGCAAATTTATAGTGGGTGGAGAAGGAATCATATAGCAATTATTTTGGAGTCTATTTTTCAGTAGCAAAGCAGAGAAAACAGACAGAGGCATCTAGGGTAACATTGTATGGTGAATATTAATTAAATTCAAATAAAATAATTCTCTGCACTCACCATGTCTTGATTGTCTTTATTTTTATAACACATATTACCAATAAGTCGTATTAAATCTCGTTTAAATCCAAATACTGGATTATCAGTGTGAGAACAGGCAGCACTGGTTAAAGTCTGGCTGACGGTGAACCTGTTATCGCCACTTTGGCCAATGGCATGGGCTTTCTGTAACATTTCTGAATCATAAACAGATTGATTAGCATCAATATATTATTTTCATTACACACAGCATTAGTGAAGTGCTGTATGATGAGTGGAACATCACATAGATTCTAGGTGTTAGTGAGTTCATGTATAATGCGTGAAGGGTGACATGGATTCTAGGTGTTAGTGAGTCAGTGTTTAATGAGTTGAATGTACCGAGTAGTACCGGATTCTGCCGTTACACGGCAATTTGTGTTTTAAAAAAATAAAATGGGACCAAGAAATCCCCCAGGGCGATTTTTCGGCAGTTTTTAAGGTGCTATTTTAATCTTTTCTGATACCTAAAAGTTTCACCGTAGTCATTGATGCCTATACATGAGTATGGTGTTTATTGCGACGAGCATGAATGGGTAAGCTTTGTTTCGACAATGAGCTGGTATCACTGTAAATAATGTAAAATTATTCTTCAAATGATCAGTTTATCTTGAAAACAACTAATTTTTTTATTTAAAAACCAATCATGCCACTTTCCCATCAAAATTCAAGCCAAAAGATTGTACAACAACATCGGCAAATCTCTTCCGTGCAGCGTTCAATAATCATTAACATATTTAAATGAGCTATGGTAATTTGAACACGTTGGCATCATCCATCATTTTCATTGGTTAATTAGCAATTTGACCTGTCAGGTCAAAGAACACCGTCCCAGGTTAAAACATGGCAGATATTCATTTCTATAGCATTGAGCGTTTAAAGTGCGAACAGAATCATTCGCTTACGATTAAATAAGTTGAAATTTATTTGCATTTCATAACAATTCAACAAATATATTTTTTGCACGTTATTATAATCATTCCTCGGTAAAAATCAACAACTGTGAAACACAGCATAAATGGATTGCACTACAGCGATCATTAGCTAATAAGCAATGAAGTTGTGTTCGTTTGTATTTGAAACTTCTTTTCGAATATACTTTCGATACTAATAAAATGAAAAAAATAATTGTATTTGGTGCACAAGGTTCGTTAATGTGATTTTTTGGAGAAAGATGCACTGGGTGACATTGTAATGAAATTTTAGGCGGTCTAATTTTCAATCCAGCAAGATAAAAATGTATTAAATTTTAGATTAGCTTCTGCAATAGTTTCTTTCATTTTGAGTGGTTCAACTGCCGGCGTTGAAAGTCGGCGTAGGTGGATTGTTCAATGAAAATATAAGTCCCCAAAAAATATTTGATGATAATTTTTTGAAATTTTGAACCCCAAATAAGGGCCCACTAGCCATGAAATCGCCCAGGGCGATTTTTCGAATGGGCGAATTTACAGCAGAATCCAGACTCTAGACGTTAGTGAGTTGGTGTATAACAAGTGGAATGTGGCAATAGATTCTAGGCATAAGTGGGTTGGTGTTTAACAAGTGGAACATAGCATAGATTTAGATGTTAGTAGGTTGTTATAATGTTGTATAATGACTGGAAATTACTGATATTTCAGTAATAGACAAATTTCGACCATTACCAGCAACTTGCGTGCTCTGGTGTAAAAACAATTCAATTTCATCTGTGTACGGGGATGATTTCACTGCGTAAAAGTTTGATAGATTATAAGAACATTGGGGACCAGGAAACAAACAAACAAATTGTGCAACCAAAAATCACCACATCCCCCCCAAGTCTCTCACACAGAAAACAACCGATGGTGCTATATCTTGAAACTTGTCTATTCACTAATTCATTTTAACAAAAACATTATATCAACCTAAAATAACATATTTACACAGGTATGTGACGCACCCAAAGTAATATGTAGTAATGATGTTCTTTTCTGTAGTACTTTATATTTGCCCAGATCAGAAGTTGCAAGGCATAATATTTGTAAGAGTTGAACAACTACAAGAGTTTCTGTTTCCTGAAATATAAAGAGGAGTCACATGGTGTTTGAGTTTACAGTTCGATTCATATTTGGATTGTACTGAATTAATTCCATAAATAACTGGAAGGGAAGGTAATTATTTCAATTATCAATCATAAAAAAAAACAGTTCTTTATATTCATAGATGTTACACTAAATAGCGCCCTCTAGTGATGGCATGCTTTCCCGGAAGTCGAAGATACAGCGTTTCGCATGCGCGCACATGTCGTTTTGGGGTGTAACGTAAACTTGCACGCGTGATATTGTGTTTCTGGGTGTACCAATCGACGTAACAAAAATTAAATTCTATCAACTATCAGCAAACTGACGTACTTGTTTGTATTTTTTGCACCCCAGTTTTGCTATTTGCGGAAAAGTGATCTATGGTTTAAATGTATCTCTGACCACAAATCTACTGATGGATGACAGTTTAGACATTGTCATTCCAATGCTGGTTTCCCAGCTCTTTTACTCGCTTCATTGAGAGCATACTAGTGCATCATGGTCACTACTTGACTGGTAGACTACTAGTTTCTTCCTTTTGTACATCATATTTGTTCAAAAATGTTCTACACTGCAGTTCGTATTACTACTATCGCTTACACGTCTCATTGGTGAATCGGTTAGAGCAACTAGTAAATTAACTATCATGACCAACTGTCCAATTGATGAGCATTTCATACTTACAATAGTGTTCTCATCTATTTTATCACTCTTGGGTAATAATACATTACATGCCTGCATTTCAAACTGTTGGGCTAAGAAAGCAAAAACGAATCCTGGTATACTATCGTGTGTGTCTCCATCCATATTTACTTGCGATGACAGCTCTGAATCGAACGAGGGATCATCCAACATAGCAGACACAATGTCAAGAAGAATTAATTTACATTCTTCACTAACTTCCTCGTACTGCGTTAAGAAGAACTCTACATTCAGTACCAAGTCTTGAATAATGTGAAGTCTTAGGAAATGAAATGAAAAAGAAAAAATAAAGTTATGGAATTATTATTAGGTATTATTCATATAAATATTTTGTTTATTACTTAAGATTCAAATTCAATCACAAATGCGTGTATTTAGCCCCCCCCCTCTTACAAATACAAATTGTAAAATTAATTTTCACTATAATTTTGAACACGTGGAGAGATTCTAAGTTCACAAATTTTCCAGTGAAACAATGGGTTCACATCATATGGATTTAATTTAGCAGATTTCTCTTATCAGCAAAAACAAAATCTAGTCGATAATTCTACAGTAACCAGAAATGGTAGTTAGCTATGCTTGTGTGTATATTTTCCTCATCAATTTGTCTAACAAACAATGACAATTTTATTATTAAATTCAAAATGATTTGTATCATGTATCAATACATTGTAGATAAGTTCTTTAAATGCTATACAATCAATGAAAATCAACATACTGTATTAAAACTCACTTTAATTTTGCACAAAATTTTGTAAATTTCACATGAAAAATACTGCACCAGTGCAGATTTTACTGGTGTTCTAATACAGGATGCCTGGGACTTGCATGAAATTTTTACTCATATTTCTAGTGGAGAAAATTTCATTTTTGTAATATGACACATTGAGAGTGTCATCACAATAAAAATAATAATCCACCAATATTTCCCCTTAGGTTACAGATTGAGACAAAACCCTGGCAGTGATCACTCATGCCTGCTGACGTCAACATATGGAAAAATATCATAGCCTTATATAGCCTTATATATTCATCACATGCATGATCCCACAGTCTGGACATTTGAATTGGCAGGGTGTGTAATGAAGTATTGCTGAAATTACATCAAATATGAATATATCATTACAAATTTGTTCAACCATTTTTTACCCCCCCCCCCCCAAAAAAATTGTTTTTATCATACCCTTCAGTAATCTGTACTCGATCATCAAGACAGTATAAAAACCTGGAAGGTTGGACAACCAAAACATGTACAATGAAACAAAGTACTGATGTCAAACTATGTGATATGCATTTTTTATCTGTCTTGTATTAAGTACCAATGTTATGCATGGAATAATATGAAAATACACAGACTTGAAGTGAACATGAACTTACGCCCACTCCTGTTCCGTTTCAGATTTACACAATTGTAGGATGCTTTCCACTAACGTTTGTCCACCAGGTTGCTTAATTAGCTGTTGTTTGTGATGATCATTTAGACAATTATGAATGACCATGCAGGAATAAATAGATGCCTTTGTATCATTCAAATTAAAAATATTACTGGAATAAAATAGAAAAAAAAATAAAATAGATTTTGACGCTTGTATATTACGTTATTAATACAAGTGCAAGTGTTCATTTTTAAAGTCACATATTCATGTGTGGGTCAAATTGACATAGAAGATAAGCCTGGGTTAACCCTTCAACCAAATTTAATCATTGAGTTTGCTAAAATAAATGATGTTTCGTTTGCCACCAGCTACAGAAATAAATTTCAATTTGTTGTATAAATCTGAAAAAAATATTGTGATCACTCATAATGTCATTTTGAGTAACATGTAACAGCTAAGGCAAACAAGGTAGGCCATTATATAAGCTTATTTACCAGACACCCAGCATGAATCTTGGATGAGCTTTCGGAATTGAAAGATTTGTAGAACACTAATGTTCCACTAAATCAGTATTTTTTTTAAAGCTAGGCACAGTCCCTCTATCACCAGTCTGGAAACGCCTATTGTTTTACTTGTGAATCAGCAGGATTAGTGGGCTAACACTTGTAACGGCTCTCTGCGAAGCCCGGTACAATACTGTTGATAGCTTTGAGATACATCGCGTTCAGTGCTGTGATCTATTTTTTAACGTTTCCAGAACATATTCGATACCGTATACAAACATTTTTTACCATAGTTGATTCGTAACGTCTTTGTTTTTAAGGAGAGTAAGTTTCGTTGTATACAATATGTTCATGCTCAACGTTTTCTTGTGTGAAATTATGTCTTTTTCACCTTTTGTAATAGAGGGACTGTGCCGTGACTTGTTAACTGACTCGTTTTTTCTGTTCCTCTCATTAACGGTACATTCTCGACAACATGACAACATTTGTGTTTTGGGTAGATTTGAAATATGTTTAGCACAATGGTCATGTTGAATATACGATTTTGATGATTGTTCGTTCAAAAAATGACACTTATTTTTAAGAAGTAAACGGCGTCATTAAAAACAAAATAGCCGGTCCCAGCTACGATGTTGTAAACATTTTACTTCAGTAAATTTTTTTTCTGCTTATTTTGTTTTTCAGGCATATTAATTGCAACAACTATATATATTGGCAACACAATCAATTGAAATAATGTTTAATGTCACAAGATGTATGATTTTTGGGTCTTGGTTTTGCACGTCATTGTATTCACGACGGCGCCATTTTGGATCACATCATTCTCTCAGTCGTT